CACTCTACCCAAGGGGACAGCTTGAGGCTCTGTCTCAAAAACAAACAAACAAACAAACAAAAACTCTCCCCACCTTACAAACTCTTATACCTCATCCGTTTATTGTCTGTCTCTCCACTGCCTCAGCAACTGCTAAAGAGCAGGGATTTCACCTGCTTTGTCCACAATCGAATACACAGTGAGTAGAACAGGCCAGGAGCACAGAAGGGACTTTGTATGTGTTGACGAGTGAATGTGGTCATGGGGGGGGGGTTGTGGGGCTTGCACTTATCTGCTATCCAGAAAGCACCCAGGGCTGAAGGGCCGAGGCACCGCGAAAAAGAGCCAGAGGCCGGGGGCGGGGCTTGTCCGGGGAGGGGCGGGGCTTGGGCCGGGAGGGGCGGGGCCGGCCGGCGTCGCTTCCAGGATGGCGGAACCCGAGGCACGCGCGCGCGGTAGCAGCACGGAGGATTGAGGGAAGGACGCCCGCGCTGCGGAAGGAGCCGCTGGTTTCACGCCCCGGGACCTGGACTGGCCGGCCAGGGTCAGCCATGGAGCAGCCTGAGCCGGACGCCGCCTCCGACGACGCCATGGATGCGTTCCTGGAAAAGTTCCGGAGCCAGCCTTACCGTGGCGGCTTCCAAGAGAATCAGTGGGAGGAGGTGGGCGGTCCCGGGGGGGGTCCACACGTGTTTGGGGGCGTCGTCCGGGTTTCTGAGGCTCCCTGCCTTGGGGGTCCCTCTCTTACCCCCAGATACCTGGCGCTGCCAGAGGATGAGTGATTCCTAGTGGAGTATTAAAAATTGGCCTCGCGGTTTGGGGAGGCATTCATAAGGCCATTGGAACATTTAAGTCCAGGTTTTAGAGTCATACCTGTGGCTCCACCACTTACTGGCTCTGATATGAGTCAGTTACTTAACTTCTTTGAGCCCGTTTCCTTGTCTGCAAAATTGCCCTAACCATAGCATTGATTTCGTGGGGTTGTGGCAAAGAAGAAGTGAGATGATGGGTAAAATGCTGGGAACATAAGGACGTTAGATTAATAGTAATTACTACCGCTCTTGTAGCAACAGAAGGAATCCTGAGAGATTGTTTCCTACACTCTCATTTTACAGAAGAGCAACTGAGGCACGAATGGATACAGCCAATCATGATGATTTTGCAAATCATGATGAGTAAGAAAACGTTGATAATGAGCCATGGAATTGGATCTGCTCAGTAGAAAATCTTATTCATGTAGTTCGTTCTCTTAATCTCCAGGAATTTGAAAAGGTCCCCCTATTTATGAAGAAAGCGCCATCTGAAATTGATCCCAAGGAGAGTCCTGACTTGGCATGCCTCCAGTCAATTATTTTTGATGAGGAGCGATCTCCAGAAGGTATCTTGCAAGAATAACATTTGTATCACCATTGAATTGAGTTAAAGTGTGAGTCTGAAAGGTTCTGACTGATAATAATATATAGTTAGCCTGAGCTAACTTGTCATATTCATTGCACACATACTTTTATTAATACCCATTAAGTACTAGGCATTGGGGATGGAGGGATAAGTAGGACACTGTTCCTGCCCTCAAAGGTCAGTCTCCAGTGAAAAGCCAGATTGTCCCAGAGAATCAGGATAAGATGTGTGGTAAGTGCCAACATGTAATGTAGCTGTATGGTATAGCTATATGGTGGGTGCTGTTTGGGGCAGAAGTAGGCTTATAACAGATTGGACATGTGACCTGAATATCCTTTTTTTTTTTTTTTTTTTTAATGAGACAGAGTCTCAAGCTGTTGCCCTGGGTAGACATAGCTCACAGCAACTTACAACTCTTGGGCCCAAGTGATTCTCTTTCCTCAGTTTTTCTATTTTTTTTTTTTTTAGTAGAGACGATGTCTTGCTCTTGCTCAGGCTGGTCTCGAACCTATAAGCTCAAGCAATCTACCTGCCTCCGGCCTCCCAGAGAGAATCTTAACAATTTTTTTTTTTTTTTTTTTTTTTGAGACAGAGTCTCAAGCTCTCGCCCTGGGCAGAGTGCCGTGGCATCACAGATCACAGCAACCTCAAACTCTTGGGCTTAAGTGATTCTCTTGCCTCAGCCCCCCGAGAAGCTGGGAATACAGCACTCACATCAATGCCTGGCTATTTTTTGGTTGTAGTTGTCATTGTTGTTTGGCGGGCCCTGGGCTAGATTTGAACCTGCCATCTCTGGTGTATGTGGCTGGCGCCCTAGCTACTGAGCTATGGGTGCTGAGCCCCAAAATCTTAACAATTTTATAAAGTGATGAGGGAAATTTGCACTCCTGAGAATGAAACAACATGCGCAAAAACATGCATAATTCCACCCCATTTCTCATTTCTTCAGTAATTTTAAAAAAAAGTCCTTTCTTCAAGAGCTAGGATAGGTGTACCTTTTCCCTTTGAGCTTCTGAGTCTTGTAAGCACTTAGTAATCTCCCACATCAGGTATTTGGAATTAGCATGACTTTGTCCATGTGGCTACTCATTTTTATCATAGCATTAATTTTTAGTTTTCTTTCCCTATTGGTTTCTTTCTTTGGTTTATCATACATTACATTATTGCATGATTTAGAATCTGTTTTTAAGGAGCCTGTTAATGAGTAGGAAATAGTGATTATTTCTCCTTGTCTTTGCAGAACAGGCCAAGACCTATAAAGATGAGGGCAATGATTACTTTAAAGAAAAAGACTATAAGAAAGCTGTGATTTCTTACACTGAAGGACTAAAGAAGAAATGTGCAGATCCCGATTTGAATGCTATCCTTTACACCAACCGGGCAGCAGCACAGTACTATCTGGGTAATTGACTTCATTATTACGTGTTTCTCAAGAATTAACATTTGAGGCTCGGTGCCTGTGACGCAAGGGGCTAAGGCGCCAACCACATACACCTGAGCTGGTGGGTTCGCATCCAGCCCGGAACTGCCAAACAACAATGATGGCTGCAACCAAAAAATAGCTGGGTGTTGTGGCAGGCACCTATAGTCCCAGCTACTTGGGAGG